CACTCTGCCGCACGACCCTGACTTCGTGGCCATCGGCTCCTTCGCGAAGGCCGAGCACATGCTCACCACCGGCCCGGCCTCTGTCATCCCATAACCCTAATAATATTTAGGTAGTAAGTAATTTTAGTATAAGATGAGAGATCAGAAATTTTATTAATTTTAGTTTCATTTTTGTCCTACCTTCAACATTTTGTTTATTTTGGTCTTTGTAGTTAAAACAAAGTAACAATTTTGATTGCTGTTTATCAAATTTTAAAACAAATCTGTGCACAAAGACATTTCTTCATACAATTTTACAGTTATATTCAAGAATCTTATGGATCGTGATGAATTGATAAATGAGACAGAAATGAAAATTGAGGTATCAATTAATCGAACCATAAAACATTTTTTTTGTAAAGTTTCAATAATGATCCTGAGATGCCACTCACTCATTGGTGAGGAGGTGTATAATATAATATAATACTTTTTAGAAAAAATCTTAAAATCATCCGGTTTACTTACGACCACTTTGAGGATATTATTGTCTTTTCCTTTTTTACTAAAGTTGGAAGATAGAATATTCATAAATATATTTTTTTCTAGTGTCATGGTCTGAAAAAAGAACCGAATAAGATAATTGTCCCTTTTTTAGAGAAATAGGATTTTCAAGTTTCCCTTTTAAATTGTCCTCTAAATTTATAAATTTAAAAATTAAAAGATAATAGGTACAAAACAGGTAAATTTAAAATTTTATCATTTTTTCTAAGATTCAAACTAACGATTTCTCAATTGAAAATTGGTGCTTAAGTATATCGTTCAAAGTTGACTGCCCTCTCTCTTTAACAAAATAAATATGGTAGTAGGGATGGCAACCAACAGGGTCAGGAGGCCATCCCCATCCGGGTCTCTTTGGGAATTTTTTTATTTTTCTATTTTTTAATTTATTTTATGGGTGTCAAAAAGTAAAAGAAAAAATGATTAAATAGGTTTTGGGTTTGGACTTTTTTTAAAAAAAAATTAAAAAATTAAAAAGTATTTATTAAGATTAATATTATTATATATAAAAGTATAAAATTAATAAAATATTAAACGGGACGAGGTCGAGGATGGAGACAAGGTGGGGAGACCTTTCCCATCCCCGCACCCACCGAAGACTCCGACTAAGATCCTTAGTTTGACATTGTCCCCAATCAAACCAGGAATTTTTCGACCCAATCGGATTGAGTATCCACGAGAATTGGGTCCCGCAAGTTTTCTTACCATTACATAATTGTAATATAAAAATTATGTAAAAACAAAATTATCATAATAAAGATATCTTATCTAATAATGTAGATTCAAATTGACCAATAACAAAAGTTGACTTCCATGAATCATGAGGTATCTACCTGGCCAAAAGTTGCTTGAGGCATCTTTTGCATGAGGGCTTCCTCCAACTCCTTTCTTAGCGGAGCCGCACCAGAGTGCACCATTCTAATAGAGCTCAAATCGAACTCTGCCACTTTCGAATTCTTCGCCAGCGCCAACACCAGCGGCGGGACCACCGCCGCCACGGTAACCCGATGCCTCTCTATAAGTCGCAAGAGCGCTTCTATCTCGAACTTCTCCATCAACAATATTGCAGCTCCACATCTAATCGAACTCAAAATCACGCTGCTTAATGAGAATATGTGGAACATTGGAAGCACGCATAAAACGACATCGTCCGTTCTCAAATAAATATTCGGGTTCTCTCCATCCACCTACAGTTCAATAAAACTTTGTCGATGATAAATAAATCACCTCTCAACAAAGCTTAAGCTAAATGTTGATGAAACAAACAATGCACGGATTCGAATATAGGATTTTCCGTTCTAATACCCTGTTAAAGAATCAATAATTTCAAAATAATTTAATTCAGATTTCTCAATTCATAGTTTTCAAAGTTTAGAGACGGAACAGTAATTTGGTACCAACCTGCTGAGCGACGCTGGAGACCATACTCTTGTGCGTGAGGACCACGCCCTTGGGGAGCCCCGTCGTGCCGGAGGAGAACGGCAGCGCAACGGCGTCGTTTGGGGCAATCTCCACCGCCGGAACCTCGTTTT